GCTGGCTGCGTCGTCGTCGTCGGAAGATGCGACGTCGACCGCCGACCGCAACCGCCGCGTCGCGCTCACGTTCTCGCTGCAGGGTGTCGGCTTTCTCATTGCCGGCATCATGGGTCTCATCATGGTCAACGTGCTCGACGACACGCCGCAGCATCTCGAGATCATGTGGCGCGTGCTCTTTGGCATCGGTGTCCTTCCGGCCCTCTTCCTTGTCTACTACCGTATCACGGCCGAAGAGACGCACGTGTACAAGACGATGCTCGCGGAAGAAGTGCACATGACGAAGGTGCGCCTGGTCGTTCATTGCAAGCACTACGGCAAGAGCCTCCTCGGCACGGCCGGCACGTGGTTCCTCTTTGACTATTGTGTTTTACGCCCAGAACCTCTTTTCGGCCTCGATTCTGTCGGTGATTGGCGCCAACTCGACGCTCAAGACGATCGCGCTCCAGAACGTTTTGATCTCGCTCGTGGCGCTTCCGGGTTACTACGTCGCGTGCTTCTTCATCAACAAGATGGGCCGCAAGCTCATCCAGCTCAACGGTCTCACGTGGATGACCATCATCTTCCTCGTGCTGGCCATCTGGTGGGACTCGATCAAGGGCCAGAGCGCGCTCTTCATCATCCTCTTTGGCCTGACGCTCTTCTTCTCCAACTTTGGCCCCAACATGTCGACGTTCGTCATGCCCACGGAGATGTACCCGACGGCCATCAAGAGCTCGTGCCACGGCTTCTCGGCCGCCATGGGCAAGGCCGGCGCGGCCATCGGCTCGTACGGCTTTGCGCACTGGGTGAACAACCCGAGCTTTGGCTACATCGGCACGTGGTACACGTTTTCGGGCATTTGCTTGTTGACGCTCATCCTCACGTGGTTCTGCATGTTTGACAACAACGACGGCGACATGTCCAACATTGACAACGAGTTCAAGGCCAAGCTCGCGCTCGAGAACGACGAGACGCGCAAGTCGTTCATTGCCGGCGAGGACGAGCACGAGTTTGACAAGGACTCGGCGTACGTCAAGGCCTAAGTTAGTAAAAGGAGCTAGTGTAGTGTCCCTCATAGAAATATATACCAACGTTGTTGTTTTCAAATGTCATTTACGGGCATCGAATGCAGTTGTCGGGCGTCCTACTTGTAGAAAGGGCTAGTCGACACCTAATTCGTCACCAATCGCAACCCATTCTTCCTCGAGAAAGCGCTGACCGCAGAGTAATGTCTATGTGCAAGGCTCAATGCCTTGTAGTGCATTTACAGAAACCGCCTCGTACCTCTTGGCACCTACCTGCCTGGTTTTATGAACTGGCACTTGAAACACCCTGCAAGCGCAGAGCGTGCCACGTCATTCAATTTGATCGTGGATTAGTGAATACCATGGCCAATCAGAAAAAGGTAGGCGGATGGGTTCAATGTTCAGTGCGCTGACCTCCCCACCGGCGATTTGAGCATCGAGTGGCAACATGGTGACGGCAAAGGAGGTGCGCATGCGACCTGAGAGCACCTGGAGTCTCAAGTCGGCGTAGATTGAGCTCGCGAACGCTGCCAGGGACGGTGACGTCAGTGCAGTGCAATCGCTGCTTGACCAAGGCGTCATCGTCAACGCCACCGACGCGGTACGATTCCACTGTCATCTCAAGGACTTGCTAGGATGTCTGGTCGGCGCTGCACTATGCGGCCTTCTATGGTCGGAAGGACGTAGTTCGCGTCTTGGTCACGCACAGCGCCAACCTGGAAGCGCGCTCCAAAGTACACGCTTGTCGCATTGGAATGGCAATGCAGGTTTGGACTAGGGACTGGAAACACCATTGACGTTCGCCGCGCGTCGCAACAAGCTACAAATTGCCCATTGTCTCTTGGACCACGGCGCCGACATCGAGGCGAGAGACCTCGTAGGCGTTTTCCCGACGTCGCCGCACTTTGACGTTGTTGCAATCCTCTTACTAGCGGAAAAAGACGCCTATCCTATCGGCCCAAGAAAAGGGCATTCGCGAGTGGAGCAATTCTTGCGCGAGTACCCAAGCAAGCACGATGCCAAGGTCGTCTTCGATCTCGCGGCTCCGACTTATGCGACAGTATTATTAGCTGCATTGGGCCGCTCTCAAGGCCAACGACACCAAGGACGTCACACGACGTCTTTTGAGCTTTCCGCTGTGCCACGTACTTGACTCTACATCGACCACAGCACGTGCATAGCACGATGTAGCCGCTGCCGCTGCACGCCGCCCTCACGACAAACGACCCGCGCTTGCTTTCGCGCTTGCTGCCGTGTCTTGACTTGGAGGCCCTCGATTCGGTCCGTGCTGGTGTGTTTCGAGTGCCTGCGTACGGATCGACGATACGTAGGGCGGCTACTCGGTCTTGGCACGCGCAGTCGAGCAGAACCAAGTGCAAATGGTTCAGAAGCTGCTCCATGCCAACGTTGGCGTCCACGCATCGAGTCCGGCATCCTTTTCAGTATCGAGTGCATGGGCCGATGCCAGCGTAGGACGCCGTCTCGGCGCTGCACGTGGCCGCTGCGAAAGGCGCGACGACGATTCTCTACATGCTGCTCGCGAATGCACAGACCGCCTTGGACAAGGTTGTTGGTGACTTGTTTGCGTATTCCAGCGATTGATGAGCTTGTAAATGATGCGTGTAGATGGGGTACACGCCCTTGGCGCGCGCCGTCCAACACGGACATTTGGACGCGGTTTGTGCCTTGCTGGCTGCCGACGCCGATCCGACAATCCCACTGCCGGTATCGCTATCGTTTCGTCGCATTGGAACGGATTTCAATCTTATAGAACGGCCAAACGCTCTTGAATGCAGCGACGCAGCGCAAGGACCGAGACATTTCCGAGCGCCTGTATGCGCTCGCATATCCGTCGGTTGTCGACGTACTGCGTCCATCGAGTATTTTCAAAACGACAATGGGAAAATGACCTAAATATCGGCCAAGGATATTCAACGGGACGAGAACCATGTGCTCGGCACCGGCGCAGTCGGCAAGGTCGTGCGCGGCACGTTCCAAGCGCGGGCCGTTGCCGTGAAAGCGTCCAAAGATCGGTTTGCCCACGAGGTGGCGATCCTTCGCGACGAAATCAACCTCACGCGCGAGTACACGATGGGCGTTGCTGCATCTCACCCCAAAAATGCGTAGGTGTCGGTCGCCGTACGTCTTGCACCTCCTCGCTGCT